CAGTCTCTAGGTAGGCAAAATCAGGTAAAATCAGTTTGGTCCTTACAAAAGAAAGAATCAATTAACAAAGAAACCATTTCCTTGGATATAGAAATGATGTCTCAGTAAAGTGCCCCTTTAATTTCTATCTATCACGGGAAAATCACTGATATACAAGGAGGGTGAAAGACATCCATCTATAGGCAAACATTCACTTTGATGGAAATCTAGTCACTGGGTATTTTCTACTTCAAGTTTCTCAAATACTTTTGGTGTGGGCTTTGATTAGGAAATAATTAAATTTACTTAAAAGAATCCAGGAATTCATCTCTTACAAAGAAAGTCACAGCTGTATTCTGTGTTTTCACAGTCCTTTATTCCTGAGGCCTGCTCTACTCAGAGCTCTGCTTATGTGGCACCACTGAAAGGACTGAAAATTGGATTGAGAAGGTCAGTGAGGCTCAGCAGGCACAAGTTTTTATTGAAAGAACGCATAATCCAGCTCAGAAATGAAAGCTCATTTGTGGGTGATTCAGCAATCTCCTCATTACAAACATTTTGGTTCACCAGAATGAGAACTCAACATCGTTCCTGGCTTAAACACAGAGATTACACATCTAGAGACCAACCATCATACCACCAATGAAGGCAGCTTTTCACACCTTATTTTATTTAATCCTATCCCCACCCTGTGAAATATTGTGATTCTCACTTTTCACCACGAAAAGTGAGTCAGAGAGAACTGCTTAGAGTAGAGCTGAACCAGAACTTGACAGGGTCTCCAGACTCCAGCTGCTCTGCACATTCCCTCAAGCACATCTGTACCAAAGAACAACAAAATTCATCGAGGGACCTCGGATCATAGAATAGTTGTTATGTGCTGTTGAATCAGATTTGACCCATAGCAACCCTGTATAGGGTTTCCTAAAAGTGGCTTGCAGCTTGAACCGCCAATCTTGTGGTTCAAACTGACTTTGCAGTCCAGCGCATTAATCCACAGGGCCACACCAGGACTCCATAGAACAGTAAGTCAAAGCACATGTTACTATAAAGAACTTACTGTGTTTTAAAGTCATTAAAATGGTCTATATGAATACTATAGTCAACCTTTCATATAGCAACAAGGGTTACAGACAGCCTGTAAATCAAGCATATTTCCTGTTGTTAGCATGGTAATTCACAAAAGTGCAAAAATAAGAAATACTCTTGCTTTTTGGGTGATGATCAGGATACACGTAATTCAGAACTGTGTTTTGCAAAGTTTAAGCAATCTCAAAATAAACTTGATTTTTTTCTCCCTTAGTCAACAAAATTAAACAATTTTTACCTTCCATCCTATTCTGTTCTGTTGCATTGACTAAAAAGAGGTCCCAGGAATAAGACAGATTATGTAGATTTTCACAGTCTTCACACACAACTTGAAGAGAAAGTTCTTCATTCCAGTTCACAAAGTTGCTTTTAACGTTGACTCGGGATACATGGATGAAACTAGAACACACAAATCGGGTTTGAGATTTAAGGAAAATGAATGAGAGTTCTTCATGACCCTTTATTTTTACTTCAAAAGCCAGTCCATTGCCACAGGGTTTATTCTGCGTCACGGTGACTTTATGTGTGATATAACAGAATTGTTCACTAGAGCTTTCTTGGCTGTAATCTTTGGAGAAGCCGATCACCAGGACTTCCCTGGAGACACTGTGTGGTTTAGCAGTTGAGAACTTCATCGGTTTGTGCCACCCAGAGACCTCACGTTTAAATTGTTCTACCTTGGATATTTATTACGTGAATTTAATAGCAATACCATTCCCAATATTATTGAGAACTCTTATTGTGTAATCAGCCCTGCAAGATCTTTCAGGAAATGCACTAACACTCCTGCCCCTCTTTATGGAAGGCACCGAGAGTCACAGAGGCTTTGTAACTTTCTACCCACCACACAGAGGCAGGGAGAGACCCAGGACTATGACCTGGTCAGACTCATTCCTCAGCCTGCACTTTGATTGAGTCGTGAAGACAGGACAGCTACTCCACGTCTCTCTTCATCTCTGTTCTTGTTTTGGTCCCTTAGCTAGTCTGAGTGAAGTTCAAAGCAGCTTCACCCAGGCCCTTCTCATAACCGTCCACATTGGTCATGCCCATGCTGACTGGATGCAGAAGTAAAAGGAGATATTGATCCCCTACCTGACCCTTGTGCCCAATGCCCCACCTCCCACCCACACAACCTTGTGTCCATCTCCCTTTGCCCGTGTCACCACATAACCTCCTAGCTATTGTCTTTACTCTCTTTTGCTAATCCTTCATTTCCCATAATGCATTATGTGAATTAATAGCTCATCAAGATATCACAGTGTGGTTTGGCATAATTAAACAGAATTCTTTCCTGTACGATTTGCAGAGCATTTAAAAGGCCAAAGTTTATGGAGATTGAGCAGATATGTGGTGGAGTGTTTCCCGTGTGAGTTTACTGTGCAACATGCTGGTGACACATGGTGTCAAACCCCTGCCTCGGTGAAGGTCCCTGCAGAACACAGGCACTGCAAAGTGTCCAACTGTGTGTGTGCGTGTGTGAGTATGTGAGTCTGAGTAAAGGATGTGTGAGGATGTGAGATTACATGAGTATATATGAGTGTGTGAGTATGTGTGTGTGTGTGTGGTGGGGGATGGAGGGCATGACCCCAGATCTCACAGGACATAATCAATACAGGCCCAAATATTTTCTAACAGGATTGAAAGAAGATAATCATTTAATAACTTTACTACTTGATGAATGAATATTTTAAAATAAATTCTGTAACACTATTGTGAATAGCAGAATTATATAATACACTATATTTTTGGAACAAAAATGTTTAACTTGTTCTATGTAATGATTTAGATTATACCTCAATGTTTGTAAACCTCTCTTTGACTTTTCTACATTTTATATCATCATAAAGTGCCTCCCACCCAAAAAGAAAATTTGCAGTGGCCTGAATCTTTCTGGAGCTAACATCTGGTGTCCACCATAAACTTCAAAACTGAAATCCTGAATTCAAGTAGAAAGTTCTCTTCATTGTGGTATTTCTGACCCCACAGAAACCACTCTTCCCCTGTCTCTCCAACCTTATCAGGCCTCTGAATCCTTTCCATTCTGTGAAGCCCAGCTAAACTACTTCCTCCTTCAGGAAGTCCTCAGAAATTCACTCCGCCCTGAATTAGCACACAGGGTTTTAATCCTTCTTGTAGCAGACTAGTGATCAGAGCAATTGTTTGTCTGCCAGGGTGGTAAGCTAGGCACACATACAGAGCTGGATCCAGGGCTAATACGATTACTGCTGCTCCATGCTCACCCTTTCTGGGCTTGGAAGGCAGAGCAGGGCAGCAACAGAGTTCAGCCTTTGCCTCATTCTTGGACTCCACAACTCAATGCTTTCAGAAGGAGAAGGCAGGGCACAGTTGCAGCCCACCTTATCCTGGTACTGTCTTTGGTTCTGACAGGCTTCCTTCAGTACTTGTAGGGGGTGGTAGCTGATGCTACCCTTAGAGCTGTTTCGTTTGTTTTAGTTTAGTGTGTTTTCTTTTCCTTTAATTTTTTTTTTTTTTTTTTTTTCAGTCAAGGCATTCCTTAGCTCCCTCTCCCTCTCAATCTCAGATGGCAAAGGTGGCATTGCCCTGACTGCCTCTACAGCCACTGTGTGGACTCATGGGCATGTGCTCTCAGCAATCTGTGCTGGCTGTGCCTTACTGCCCCTGGTTCCTACTCGGGGACCACCTGATTGTGGGCTCTGCACCTGCACAGAGCTCAGCTGTAAGCTCTTGTCATCAGCAGGAATTCTGAGGGCTAACTTCACCCCAAACTCCTCGCCCTTACACCAGGCACTGTGCGCAAGTACAGACACTTGTGGAACTAAGCAGCTGGATATAAGCAGTACCTGAATGTGGGGTCCGAGCGGAGGGACAGGAACACCTGTGACTCTGAGGAGGTCCGGTTGCCACTGGATACCATCAGCATCACTAGGAACTGGTCATAGCCATCATTGAGATCTGCTGCTGTAAAGGAGATGCGTGGCGCTGTGCTGTCCAGTGAAACGGGTGCTGCAGCACTGAAGCATGAATCTTCAGGGGCCCCAGCAGGCGCACACCTCCAGTGATACCTGTGGGAAAGTCCGGGAGGGTGCTGGAGAATGGAGCCACTGCCTCTCATCCTGTGGCTCTGCTGTGAGGTACAAAGGGAGAGAGCATGCGGTGGGGAGACATGGTGCTTCCCTTATCCTATAAAATCATGGATGAGGGAGACTTCAGAAGTGGGAGCGGCACCACATCAGGAGGGGCACCTAAAACTGAACACATCCTCACTTCCATCTTCTCCTCCCCTCTCCCCATGCTAGTCCCCTCAGTTGCCTCAACTCCCTGTGTTTTGTTGGCGCTGCCACTCTTGTTTAAACTATTCCTGTCCTGAGGACCGGGACCCCTCCCGTGGCTACCATTGCCCCTTCCATGTAACCCAGCCACTAAAGTACTTTACAAGTGCAGACAATTAACCCTCCCGACAATCCTATGTGACTGATAGAAGATGGCATGTGCTATTTCTCTGGAATTAAATAAGTCTTGGAGAGCTGTGAAGGAGTTGTCCAGTTTCAGATCAAGGAAACAACCTAGCCTGAATGGGAATGCCAGGAGCCTTGCTTCCTAAGCTCAAGATAGAGCTGCAAGATCATAGTTGGTGCATTCAACAAAGATACTCATGCCTACTCTGAGTCAAGTGAGAATCCTGCACACTCCCAACCTCGAGCAGACCTTAATCTAGTGAGGGAAACGCATGTCAATGTCACATAAAATACAATAGACACTGTAATAGAAAAAAAAACATGGCTGCTGCACAGTGCCTAGGAGCTCCTGCAGCTATCAATGCAATACAAAATACATTTTGGCAGGACTCTAACACCAACGATTCTGAATTCCAAAGCCTGAATATGGAGGTGCAAGATGCAGATAACTGTGAGTACAGGGTAAAGTGGCATCCCACTATGGTGGTGCTCACCTGAGAGGTGTACCCAGATTGTCGGGGTCATATGATTGGGATCCACTTAGGACAATGGTGGAAGAGGAGGTCTTGGAGATGAAGAGATGCGTGCCTTCGGAAACAATGCTGATGGGGGCCCTGGGCAGAACATCCACCCCAACTGAGTAGTTGCTGTACACCACGCTGCCTATGACTTGAACCTATGACATAAATGACAGGACAGTCACATGGATGGTTGTTATGTGCTCAACTGCCTCCTCCACAGATATGTGTTGAAATACCTGGCCCTTGTACCTGTGGAATGTGATACTGTTTGGATACAGAGTCGTCTCTGCTATGCTAATTAGATTTCACCTGAGTAGGACAGGTTCAAAATCTAATCACTTCTGAGTTATAAAAAGAACAGAAGAAAGGTCCCTGAGTCGCACAGAAGTCTGCAGTTGGCTGGTAACTGAAAGGCTGGTGGTTTAAATCCAACCAACAGCCCGGAGATGGACTCTCATAAAGATTATGACCAGCCAACCCTACTCTATCGCCAACAAGGTTTCCCCAAATAAATTCTCAAGTCAAAAATAAATTAACACCTCACCACAAACAACAAAATGGACAACGAGATAGGCACACATGTTGTGGAGGACAGACACCATGTGAGGATCAACTACTAGACAAGGAATGCCCAGGAACCAAGGGACTACCAGCCAGAAAGACGACACGAACAAGGCAAAGACCCAGATTTAAATTTTTAGCCTACAAAACTGTGAGGAAAGACATTTCTGTCCTTGAAAGCCACTCACTTGTGGTAGTTCTGTTACAGCAGCATGAGTGATGAAATGAGACATGGGCGGGAGCTAGACGCTTCTCTTAAAGGTAGAAAGGAAAGTCTAAATGTTCTGCTGGCTACAACTAATTGATAAGTGATACGTGGGGAAATGTGATTATTTTTTAAGAGCAACATGTCAAGTTTGTCAAAATCCGCAAGCTGCTTGGTGATCTTTGGGAGATAAAGTCCCTGGAGGCAATGGAAGTGCTAGCATTTTCCTATCCATGTTCGGAGCAGGGGCTTTCCTAATACCCTCAATAACAATTTTCATGTGTGTACATCTTACAGACTGCAAACTTCTCTGTTGGCACCAAAGTTTCCCATGGCCCTGAATTTTGTGTGCCATATAACTTTATCCCAGCTACTTCTTTATAAGTCCTAAACATACTATAGAATTTAATAAATATAAATCTGATTGAAGGGAAATATTTTTAAGCTCAAAAGCATCATGAAACATATAAAGCCTTGACGAAATTTTTTAAAAGTTCAGCGAACAAGAGACATCATTGCTGATGTCAGATGGATCTTATTTGAAGGCAGAGAATACCAGAAAGATGTTTACCTGTGCTTTATTGACTATGCAAATGTTTTCGAATGTGTGGATCATGACAAGCTATGGACTATACTGGGAGAAAGAGTATTCCAGAACACCTGATTGTGCTCATGAGGCAGTTGTTCAAACAGAACAAGGGGGCACTTGAATGGTTTAAAATTAGGAAAACTGTGCACTAGGGTTGTATTTTTTCACCGGTAGACTGAACAAATAACCTGAGAAGCTGAATTATATGAAGAACGTGGCATAAGGATTGGAGGAAAACTCATTAACAACCTGCGACATGCAGATGATACAACCTTCCTTGCTGAATGTGAAGACTTAAAACATTTATTGATGAAGATCAAAGACCACAGCCTTCAGTATGGGTTGCACCTCAATATAAAGAACACAAAAATCTCACCACTGGATCAATAAACAGCATCCATAAAGATGGAGAAAAGATTGACGTTGTCAAAGACTTCATTTTGCTTGGCTCAACCTTCAACACTCATGGAAGCAGCAGTCAAGGAATCAAATGATGTATTGCATTAGGCAAACCTGCTGCACAAGACTTCTTTAAATTGTTCTAGAATAACAATATCAGTTTGCCACATTGCTGGGAGAGGGCACCTGTGACCCAAACTGTTCATAGTCTAGGGAACATAAGCTGTGTTTTGGAATGGGTATATGAGACCCTTATCTGTGGTACTTCAGATCATGTCCGTGGGCACCTTGATAGCCTGACTCCAGCTACTTGCATTCTCCCTGAGTTGGTGGATAGAAAGGGAGCAACTGGGCATGCTTCCTGTCCATTCCCTTGACTTGCTGCATTGACTTGCTGACCCAGTCCCTTCAATAATGGTGGTTTCCTCCTAAAATGATTATCATGTTTATGAGCCTAAAAAGTTAACGGCTATAAATTCCAATGGAAATACTTTTGGGGAGGCTAGCCAGACAGCCTCTATAGGGAGTATCCCTTACCCCATTCTGGTTTCAATGATAAAGTCAAGAAGTTCAGGTTGATGGATGGTGTTGTTGTTGTTAAGGGCCATCGAGACAGTTCTGACCCAAAGTGACCCTGAACAGGGTTTCTGAGGCTATAAACCTTTACGGGAGCAGAAAACCTCATCTTTCTCCCGCGGAGCAGCTGGTAGTTTTGAACTGCTGACCCTGAGGCTCACAGCCCGATTCGTAACCACTACGCTACCAGAACCCCTTAGGTTGATGGATGTTGTTGTTGTTGTTAAGTACCATGGCGTCGGTTCCTACTCACAGTGACCCTGCACAGGGTTTCCGGGGCTATAAATCTTTACGGGAGTAGAAAGCCTCATCTTTCTCCCGCAGAGCGGCTGGTAGTTTCGAACCGCTGACCTTAAGGTTCGCAGCCCGATTCGTAACCACTACGCTACCAGAGCTCCTTTAGGTTGATAGATAGGGCATGGTAAATTGGTTATTTTAGAGGAGTTCTACTTCTCAATCACTTCAATCTGGCTTACAATTACTATCTTAGAAGTATGCTTGCAGGAAACTTCCATATAGACTGACATAAAAGAACAAGTGATTTTATAGAATACAATAAAATGTTTCAGTATTTAAAAATTAAACCTAAGTAAAACTGGGAAAAAGAATCCTTCTAACACTTATCATGGGAGTACAGTATATGATAAGCACTGGATTACAAAACACAAAGTCTGAAATTTGAGCTCATCAGCTGCTCTGCTGGAGAAAAATGAGACTTTCTGATCCCTTGAAGATTTAAAGCCTCAGAAACTCTATACAGGGGCACTATGAGTTGGAACCAACTCGATAGCACTTAATAACAATGCTTGTTATGGGTAACATGTTAGCTCTGTAGGATAAACACTGGACTGTGAACCACAAGGTTGGCAGTTTGAGCCTACCACCCATTCCATGGGAGAAAGATAAGACTTTCTGCCTCTGCAAAGAGTTCCAGCCTTGGAAACCCTATACATGGTTCCTCTGAGTCAAAAGCAACTCGATAGCACGTAACAACAACAAATGCTGACTATATTACACATATACAGTTGTTCTCGTTGTTAGCTGCCATTAGAGTGCTCTCTTGGACTCCTGGTGTGGCACTGTAGGATAAGCACTGGACTGTGAACCACACAGCCGGCTGTTGATAACCATGAGCTTCTCCTCAGAAACCCTAAATAGGATCGCTATGAGTTGAAACAGACTTGAGGGCACTTAACAACAACAGTGACCTCCTCTGATTTTCGAGATGATGAGCTCTTTTTAACATAGTCAGGCAGTATTTTCACATCCCCACTACAAGCACAGTGGCTGGGTGCACAGCAAAGTTTTGTTAAACAAACAAGGAAGAGTTTTAGAGGCAGTTTTAATTAACTAGTTTTCCAATGTTTGAACACAAATTGTTCTCTCTAGTGAATTAAGCATTTCTATTAAAATCCTGTCTATAATTTTTTTTTAAAAGTCCCTTTTCTTAGATTTGATAGAACACATATAGAGTTAAAATGTTGACCTCCGGCTTAACAGACTCATGTTCTCATTGTCCACATAGTACTGTAGAGTTAACACTAGCCTCTAGTCGGATCACTAACCTTAGCAACAGCCGTATAGTTTCCATACTCCAGAAAGTAGCTCGGGAGAGTAATGGTTTGTCTGCGGTTATCAACAGAAGGGTAAAGGGACACATGAGAACCATCATCTTTCATAAAGTCCCACATATAAGAAAGGCCTTGGGAAATGTCACAGTGAATGGCAGCTTCAAATGTCACTCCCAGTCTCACTGGTTGAGACCTCCAAACCTAAGTATTAAAAAAGAAATAATACCTGATTAAAATCCCTATTATATGTGATAGACCAGCAAATTACTCAAAACTGACAGTGAAACCTGTTAGAGGCAAAACTCAACTGGACTGCCCCATTTTTCTAGTCTTACAAGTTTTTCACCACTTTTCTATCATCGTTAGTGGAAAATATTTGCGTCTTCCTTCTCTGACAGGTTTTTGTCTTACACAGGTTGTAGCTCTCCCAGTTTTTGCTGTATCTGTTTGATACAGGACAGAATTCTTAGTATTGGACTTTGGACAATGGACAAAAAGAAAACAAATACTATATATCTTTAAGAGACAAAAATAAAAATCAAGATATAAATATAACAAGAAACAATACATAATTTTACTTATAGATTCATAATAGGAATAAGAACTATTCTAAGCATAAAATTTGTGGAAGAATAAAAAAGGAAATGGTTACTAAATTTGTTTGCATAAAACTTACGTCCTCTGAATATAATAAACATAAATAATTTTTAAAAGCAATAAACAGAGAAGAACAAGCCATGTGCAATACATGATAGTATTCTTTAAAATTCACAGAAAAAATTTAAATATTCCAATAGAAAAATGAACAAAGATATATACAGGAAAATCATAAAATAAAATATAGACGACTTATTGTATGTATTTTTGACTACGAGATCATGTAAATGTTTATGTATTCTAAATTAAATTACATCAAAACAGAAACATTGAAAAGAAATGCAACTACACTTTAAACAAGTAACTTAGAAAAAATATTTCAAGTAACTTTAATGTAGAATATAGTCTTGGTTATCTAGTGCTACTGTATCAGAAATATCACAAGTGGATGGCTGTAACAACAGAAATTTATTCTTCCTGAGTTTAGGAGTACAAATCCAGAGCGCTGGCTTTGGGAAGGCTTGTGTCTCTTTGCCCGTTCTAGGAAAGGTTCTTGTCTCCATTCAGCAGCTGTGGACCCAGCATTCCACAGAGATCTCTGTATGTCTTGGCATCAATCTTCTCCTAGATGTAGGAGCTTCAGTGCACGGACCCTGGGTCCAAAGGACACACACCACTCCTGGTTCTTCTTTCTTAGTGATGCTAAGTCCCTCCCAGCTCTGCTTGCTTGTGTAATCTCTTTTATAGCTCAAAAGAGATTGACTCAAAGAAAAAGAGAGGCTGACTCATAATACAACTGAACCTGTAGATTGCATCTGGCCTCGTTAGCATCATACAAGTGAAGATGGGCACAATAGCATAATTATATCACGTAAGGGTTGATTCTGTGGTGGCACTGCAGGATAATGCACCAGGATGGCAATGGTTCAAACTCATGCATCACTCCTCAGAAACCTATACAGAGGCGGAACTGACTCAACGGCATGTAACAAAAAGAATGACAAAAAGAGCTGATTGCATCATGGAATTGATGACGTCATAATTGATATCATCATAATTGATATCACTACATCTTAACTACTGAGAAGCATGGCCTAGCTAACTATCAGAGTCTACCCCTTGTCAACAACTTGTCAATCTGGCACCTGTACACAGCTCCTTAAACCACACATAATCTCTACATAAAGATAATTATAAATCCATACTTATGCCTAACATGATACAACTAACACACATACAACTGAAAACACACTTTAACATCATTCCCAAATTCCAATCTGGGATAAAATTGATCTCATCTGTCAATCTAGAATACAAGTTACCTGCTTCCATATGCAATAGTAGAATAGGCAAAAGGTAGACATTTCCATTACAAATGTGTGCAACTGGAGGGAAAGACAGGATGCCAGACACTAAGTAAATTAAAAATCCAGAAGAACAATTTACATTCATTATCAAGGCTTGTTCTCTGAGACCATCGAAGCAATGGCCATGTCCTCCAGACTCGGAGTGATGGCCGTGCATTCTAGATTCGAGGTAGAGGCCCCTCAACCATGGGCTTCAGTTCTGCCTTCCACGCCTACTGGAAAGGCAACTCTGCTACCTTGGCTTCGGGTGGTCCCATCCTCCTAATCCAACTCAGTGGTGATCTCATCTCCTCAGCTCTGGAAGAGCCTTTCTAGCTCCTCAGACATGGCAAACCCACCTACTCAGCTTTGAGCAGAGGCTCCATCGTAACAACAGCTCCATACTCCAGAACTGAGGTGGTGAAGACAATAAAAAACTTAGGAAGCTGAGGCCCCATGCTTAGAAACACTAGAGGTCATGACTCCACCCTCTGAGAACCCTGATGTCATGTACTACGTTTTGAGACTGAGTCAGTTCTGTTTCCTGTTCTCGTCCCATCAACCTAAACTCAGTGCCTTCTAAGTTTCTGTCAACTTGCTGTGGTCAATTTGATCCTATAAAAAGAGTACACAATGCTCAAGGTAGACATTATTTACTAGTTAAGCTAGCCTATTACTTTGTTTTAAGAATACTCCAGGAGAGATGTTTGGCTTAAAGACTGTCTCATGGCAATAGTTTCAGGCATTTATCCAGTCTCCATGATTCCAGAATACCTGGATTCCATTAGAACTTAAAATTCAGTTCTGCATTTCTCCTCTTTTGATTACAATTTTTCTATAGGATCTTTGATCAAAATGTTCAGTAATGGTAGCTGGGTACCAATTAGTTCTTCTGGTTTGAATGACAAGGGGTGACAGAATAGAAAACAGGAAACACGACTCTTCAATTTACTTTAGGAGGCCAGGATATACAAGATATTAAAATAAGACCAGAAAAATAAATGTATTGATTAATCTTATGATCAAATATATACTTCCAAATAAAGTGTTTATGAAACTAAATTTAGCTATAAAAGGAATAATAATTTGTGATCAATTTGGGTTTAGCTCAGGAGTTCAAGAGTGTTTTTTGACATTATAAAATTTAATAATGTAATATACTACATAAGCAGAAACTGTGGTCGATAAATGAAGAACATATATGATCATTTCCAGTCTTTTTTTCCCAATAAAAGGGAGCACTCATTTTTAATTTCTAAAAACCCTTATTAAATGAAATAGAAGATTTAATTAAATTGTACACGTTTTAAAACATACAAGAATGACCACCATCATCACTGCTAGTCCACATTGCACAGAAAGTTTTACTCAGTGAAGAAGCCTTGAAGTAAAAAAAGAAAACAAAATTATAATCCTAGAAATCTAATGAAAGGAATCCAACTGTTCTTTACGGAGAACATTATTGTCTCTCTATAACAACCAACAGAAGGCACACATTATTGGAAGCAATGAACAAGTTCAGTAAGATTGTTGATATAAGATCAAATATACAAATCAGTTGCACTTCTATACACTGGCAACATGTGGCTATGTTGTGTAATTTTGAATATTTATCATTTAAAACATCAATAAAACATAAAAGTATCTGTAAGAAATTATAAAAATCATGCATGAGTTTTATGGAGAACCTTATAAAATTTTACTGAAGAATATTAATGAAGATATAAGCAATAGAAAGAGGTATCATATTCAGATCTAATGATATAAAGACTAATTAATCACAACTAATCCATGCAGTCAATACAGAACCAACACAATCTGTAAGAGGGTTTTAATTGAAATTTAGCATGCTGATTCTATAAGTACATGGAAAAAACACAAATGAGAAGAAGTTCAAGATGAATGGATTTGTTTTGTCCTACCGAACCCTGAGATTTTTGGTAAAACTACAGTAATACGTAACTTTACTGGTACATGAGCAGTTAAGTAGATGAAGAAAATAAATAAAATATATAGAGACTTGGTATATGAAGGAAATAACATTATGGCTTCTTGAGATGATGATGTTGCTGCTCAGTGACAGTGAGTTAGTGTCCACTCCCAGTGACAACATGAGAAAGAACAGAATTGTCTCATAAGGTTTTCTTGGGTGAATACTTTATGAAATCAGATTGCCTGGTTTTTCCTCTTGGAGTTTCTAGGTGGGTTCAAACCACACCTTTCAGCACTTAACCTTTGTATCACTAGGTTCCTGGTTCCTTGAGATAAAGATGAAATATTCAATTAGCGGTAGTTCAATCTGAAAGGTTATCCTAACCAGAAAACTAATGCCACACACATACACACACACAAAAGGTGGCTTCAAAAATTCATGGAAAGATTCCATTGTCCTTTAATTCCATTTTTCATGAAAGTTTTGAAACCTACTTGTATATGACATTTTATGTTTACCTTACGTCACTTACAAAAATCAACTCCACTTGAGTTAAAGCCATAAATTCAAAAAACAAAATTCCAAACCATGGGAAGAAAATATAGAAAAGACCTCTATGAAGTAGAGTGACGGAGGTAACTAGGTTATGTGCCTTCATCATTCAGTAGGCTAATCCAACTTGTTCATTGGGTGTTGAGAATTCATTAGCACCAAGAGAGAGCAAGCCCCACTATTCCAGACTTGGCAAGACTCCATTTGTGTGCAATTTGTTATTGTGCCACTGACCAAAGGAAGTCACATGGGCACAACCAGAGTCACTGTAACAGAGCACTACTCAAGGATGTGAGTTCAGGAAAGTACAACTTGAAAGGGGAGGGTCACTACAATAAAAATTACAACACACATGTATTTTATAAAGATGAAATCTAGGAATAATAGAAAATAAAGAGTTGTGGTTACTTCTTGCTCTAGAAGTAGAAAGGGAGTCATAATTGACAGAAATACCCATGAACTCAAAGTTTTAAGGCTATTTTATTTGTTAAGTTACATTTTTTTAGGTATAAGAATGTTTATTATGTAAACTGTGCTCAGCACTCTCACTTCATGCTTCAGAGAGCCTAACGCCACCAATAAGTGCCCCGAGGCACCTTGTTCCGCCAGCAAGTCTCATGCACAAAGGAGCTTAGCTCTCTAGGCTGTCTTGTCTCGGACTCCTGGTTCTGCTGCTACAGTTTCTGTACCACTTCTTTTCATGTTCGTGCCATCTCTAGGGCTACATTTCTCCTCATTTTCTTCTGAGCCCTCATGAGAATTCCACCCACAGT